TTCTTCATGTTAAAAATCCACCAATCAGGTAAGTCATAGGAGGAATGAGAAAAAGGCCCGCTGTAACTTTTCTGAACTTGTATCTAAACCTTTTTTCTGGGCTCAGTTACCAAATTACAGTTAATAAAAAGGGGTTTGGTATGTGTTCTGTAATGAGGATTCACATTTTTTGTAATAATAAAATCAAATGCTAACATTTACCTTCGAAAGCCCTTGCGGTGTGCTTTAGATATATTTACCAATTTAGTCTTTACATCACCCTACAATCCTGATTTCAAAGGCGGGTATAGTAAAACAGACTGGTAACTTACAGAGTAAACCGCTCATGATTGCGCTGGGAACCACGGTGTCTGACTCAGAGCTTGTGTAAATCCGTTAACGATGTAATGATCAACTGTATTGCTTGGTGTGCGGAGTTACTCTGTGGTTAATCAGTTAATAATGGTTTGATTCTCAGATTATCTTCCAGAAAGTAGAACTCAACAGGTTGTTGCTCCAAAGCCAGTTCCCCAGAAGAAGAAAGAGAAATCAAAGGAAAAAAAGGATCAAACCTGTCCTTCTCCGAAAGCCAAGGAGAAAAGGCTCGTGTCCTATGATAGGACAGGTACGTGGTATTCCTTGTTTAGAAGACTCGATGCTTTTCAAGTTACGCTGAGGTTTTGTGTGCTTACATATACGGTTGTTGCTCCAAAGCCAGTTCCCCAGAAGAAGAAAGAGAAATCAAAGGAAAAAAAGGATCAAACTTGTCCTTCGCCGAAAGCCAAGGAGAAAAGGCTCGTATCCTATGATAGGACAGGTACGTGGTAGTCCTTGTTTAGAAGACTCGATGCTTTTCCAAGCTACGCTGCGGTTTTGTGTGCTAACGTATATTGCACAATGATTTTAGACCAGCGGTTCTCAACCTGTGGGTCGCGACCCCTTTGGGGGTCGAATGACCCTTTCACAGGGGGTCGCCTAAGACCATCGGGAAACACATAGATAATGACATATTGTTTTTGTGACTAATCACTATGCTTTCATGATGTTCAATTTGTAACAGTGAAATTGGGGGTCACCACAGCATGAGGAACTGTATTGAAGGGTCGCGGCATTAGGAAGGTTGAGAACCACTGTTTTAGAAGAAACAGTCTTACTGCATTTTGTGTTTGGTTGCTTAAACAATTATTTACAAAAACCCTAAAATATCAAGAGATTAAACAAGTGACAGACTGTTCAATCACTGTTTTTATTTAAGACAGATCTCTGAAGGTTATGATTATAGAATTAGCAATAAGATATACTTGGATGGTTTTGTTTTATACTTTCAGTGGCACTTTCTGGAATGACTACCTTTAATAGGTTTACGTCTTTGTCTGACAAAAAGTTTAAATCCCCAAATAAATAATTCATTTAAACAGATTTTCCTCCACTAGCATTTTCCAGTTTATACTCTCTCTATACCGGAAATTCTTATTTGTATTAATATTTTAAGTTTTATAGGAAAAGGAAAGACTTCTCACTTGAAGTGCCATGGTCCAGGGCAGGTTCATCATAAAGTTATTGAAGCTTGAACTTTGGGATCCCTCATTACCCAGGCTTCATGTGTGTTTAAGCACAAATAGCACAAAACCCGCATGGATGTGGTGGTGTCCACGCCCTTGTCTAATCCCCTCCCCTTAATGTGGGCAGGACCTGTGACTGGTTCCAACCAATAGAATAAAGCAGAGGTGACGCTGGGCTATCACTCCTGTGATTATATTACACTGGAGGCCCGGTGCATGAAACTTCATGCACTTGGTGTGGGGGGGTTGTCCCACAGCGCAGCCTGCACCCTCTCACAGTCCGGGACCCCTTGGGGGATGTCCACCTGCCAGCTTAGGCCTGCTCCCTGGGGGATCAGGCCTAAGCTGGCAGTCAGACATCCCTCTGGCAGCCCAGGAACCCTTTGGGGGATGTCCAACTGATGGCTTAGGTCCGCTCTCCATGGGGAGCAGGCCTAAGCTGCAATTGGACATCCTTAATGCTGCCAAGGAGGTGGGAGAGGCTCCGGCCC